GAGGGTAAAGAGAAATGACGATAAAGTGCCCTTATACGAGAAGAGGAAAAGAGGGATATTCAAAATCCTTGACACATGACGTAACCGTCGGCTATGATGAGCGGTCACGTCGCCATTAAAAACCGAAACGAAAGGCGAATAGAAAACAGTCACGTATAGAGCAATTAAGTCCAGAACGTCGTGGCTAGCACATCAACGCTACGTCTGCCGGACTGGGGGACTTGATAACGTGTCCTAGCTAGCACGAAAGGGTCGCGCCCAGCTCAGAAGGCTGGCGCATCCGACAGACCAAGCCTAGCGGGCTTAGCGCCCGCCAGCGCCCTCAAGGACAGGGCGCTCTAGTAAAAGGATAAACGCCCGTCAAAGGCGTCCTCGCAAGAGGCTCGCGCCCGCCAAAGGCGCTCCAGAGCTTCACGACAAAAGATACGGTCTGGGGACAAAGCAAGGGATCAGAGCATTACCGGCAGGACCAATGGCAGCGCTCTGACAAGTAGAGGAACACGATCCTCCAATCAGCTCCCCGGATCCTGTCGGCTCAGGAGATCCTGTCTCGTACGGACGAGAAGGGCCGCTGAGTATAAAAGAGAAAGCTCATGACCCCAGAAGGTAAGACGCCTTCTCCAAGCTACACTCATACACACCCTCTAAACCCTAGTAACTTGACCGTCGGAGCGTCTTTCCGGGAGCTCCCTCTCGGGAAACAGATGGCGGCCCCCCTTTTCTCTGTGATCTTGTAGGAGCAACTCAGAGACCGTTGCCAAAGTCTACTTAGAGCAGGAGCAAAGTCGCATCATAATCTAATTGTACCTACATCCTATAAAAGGATATACAATCAGGTTCGGTCCAAAGATATAGTGGACCCAGGGCTAAAAGAAAAAATGGGCCCCCAAAGTCATAAATATAATAAAAATTAAATCGAAAATAGACACACCGTTACAAAATCCACAAAGTTCACAATTAATATTAAAAAACACAAATATGGAAAAAAATTACAAAAACAACTAATTTAAAATCTCATAGTATTTTTAGATAAGTTAATTATTTTTCTCTTTCTATATATACCATTACTCTAGGAATTTTGGGCCCCTTAGAGACATGGGCCCTGGGCGACCGCTTGTGTTGCCCACTATCTGGGACGGGCCCGTATACAATGTCATACGTGGTATAGTTAGAAGACTCACCTAAATCACAAAATCAGTGAAGCACTGCTACACTCACAACTCCTCGCACTGATCGGCCCCATGAATTGACTATCACCGAATAAAGATCAAACCTCAATCAAAACCTAAATCCTTCATGTTTGAACCAAGGTCAAACTAGTCAAAAATCAACTATCAATAGTCAACAAAAGTCAATGCTCAACCACGTCAACGACCACCGCATCGTGGCAAGTCCTTAGCAGCGTCGTGGCTAAGTCCAGACTATACAGACACCATGCAGTGCGCCACCACACAGCAGGCTTTCCGTGGCCATACTATGGTTTCAGTCAGAAAGATTTTTCTTCATTAAGAGCTTAATCCTTACAGATCAAGGCTCATAACTTTAGATTTGGTTCTTCTCAATGACTTAATGGATAAATTTTCCAACTTTATCCAATTAGACATCACCACAATGCAAGATCTTAAACCCTAAGCCCATTAAGCTCTCAGAATGACCAAAACTTCTGCATGGTTCAAAGGAAACCAAGAACCAACACCTTTTCCATCAGATCAAGTCCAAAAATGGTCACCAAGCAATTCTAAGGTTTGGAGTTGCTAAAAACTCCAAGAACATTCCTATAAAGGATTCCAAAGGACCTCAAAGCATGCAATGAGAAACACGAATGATAAAGGTGGAAGCTTTATACCTTCCAAAGCTCTACAAGATGCAAGAGATGCAAGATCTGAAGTAGAAACAACCATTCAATCAACAAGCTCACCACTTTCTTCTCCCAAGTTGCACTCCAAGGCTCAAAACATCAAGAATACCACACAAACACCAAGAAAACTTAAGCGGGGGCTAAGTTTTTCTTCTGGAGAGAGGGGGGCTAAACTGAGTCGAAATCCTAACCATCATTTTGCTTAAATAGGGCCCAAGGCCCGAACTATAGGGTTTAGGAATCAGCCCCCACCGGGTCGTGGCGATTACCTGACCGCACTGCATCAACATCCAAACACACTCTTCTCTTTTAAATGACGTGGCCACACCGTGGATAAAGGTTTTTCCTCAAAATCTTATCCTCGAAATCCTTATGTCTTCAGCTGATCAAATCCAGAAAAATGGGTGTTACAAACGCAAACAATGGGATTTATCCCATTACATGGACAATAGTTTGTGTGGAGAATAAAGAAAATTGGAAGTGGTTTTTGGATCTACTCATTTATGACTTGGGACATAATGTAAGATATGGATACATTCTAATATCCAATCAACACAAAGTAATTTACTTAATTGTACTCCATTTCCCATTACAGTTGCATACTCATTTAATATAATGTCCATTTTTACAGGGTCTAATTGAGGCTGTCAAATAGCTCCTACCATATGCAGAGCACAGACACTATGCTAAGAATATTAGCGAAAACTTGAAAAAAAGAGGTTTATTAGTGCCCACTATGAAACCATATTCTGAAAAGATTCTAAAACATTAAATGAGGAAAAATTTAAATTTGTAATGAAAGAGCTTGAAGTTATAAACCCAAGTGTTCACAAGTATCTGATGGACAAAGACCCTAAGACATGGGCACAAGCCTTTTTCCAACTATGAAGATGTTGTGATGTTGTAGATAATGGAATGTCATAAAGCTTCAATGTTGCAATAGTTGATGCTCAGAAGAAGCCAATTATCACTATCTTGGAGGAGTTGAGGTTGTATAGGGCGGAGAGGGTGTTCAACTTGAAAGTTCAGGGGAAAGGACGGGGTAATCAAATTTGTTGAACAATTAGAGAGTTATTGAATGAGGTTAAGAAACACGAGAGGAATTACCAGGTATTACCTAGTAGGTTAAATCAGTTTCAAGTAAGAAGAACTAAAGATGCTTATGAGGTAGATCTTGAAAGGAAAACTTGCTCAAGCAGGTTATGGAAACTTAATGGAATCGGTTGTGTCCATTCCGTTGTATGCATTAGTTTTATTAATAGGGATGTAGAGTCATATGTGGACAAAATGTTTAGTAGCATTATGTACATGAAGTCATAAAATTTTAGGTTTGAACCTATGAATGGAAGTAACTTGTGGCCAACAACTTTGTACAAACAACCTTTACCTCCTGTTCATAGAATTATGTCTGGGAGACCTACAACTAAAAGAAAAAGGATGCAACAAAAAACTATTCAGTGGACAAATAAAAGAAGAGTAACCAAACACAAAATAATGACAACCATAGAGCATCCAAGGCTGGAAAGAAGCAAAAATGTAGCATTTGTAAGGTGGAAGGACACAACAAAAGAGCTTGTATTGTTGGAAGGACCCCTAAAATTAATGTCAAAAGAAAAAAAGACAGGTTAATAATTAATAAGGTTGTTGATTTACATTTTCTTTTCCTTTGCTAATATTGTGTCATATAGGTCAATATCAATGAAGTTCATCAAGATTATGTTGATGGGGGAGAATAATGTCAAGATGGTGGATAGGAAGAACAAAAGCATGTGCGTGGTGATGAAGAGAATATGGGTAGTGATGAAGTGAATGAGGATGATGATGAAGGAGGTAAAGATGATAGACAAGAACATGATAAGGTAGAACTCACTCCTATGGAGGTTGAGGTATCCAGAAATAGAGTTGTTGGTCTAGAAGGAGGTGGTGTAAAGGTTGGGAAAGTAAATGACAATGTCAATGTTGGTAAGGTGTGGGTGCAACATAAGGTTAGACTAAGACGAATTTCAACCATTTTGAAGAACATTAGAAGGAAGAAATCTAAAAGGATTGTGAAGATTAAGCTAGCCAAGAGAGTTGGTGATGAAGATTCACCTAAAAATTCAACATCTAAAGCTCTTGTTTTAGATTAAGGGAACATGCACTTTCTATGTTAGTGTGTACTATCATTTGTATAAAACTATGTACTTTCCCTTGTATGATACTATTTAAGTTGGTTGTTATTAGATGTTAATCTATTATTAATGTGAACTTGGTTGTTATTGTTATTAGATTGGTTGTTATTTTTAGTAAGTTGTTGTGTTGCATGCATGCTAAGTACTATTATGGTGCCATGCATAAATTGGTATTTTGAAGTTATAAAATGCAAGCATCTTGACCAACACGGGGAACCATATAATGCCAATTTAATATTATCCCAGATTATGTCCTTATGACAGTTTGCAAACAAAGTACCCCTACACACAATTTAATTTCATAAAAAGGACACAATGTGGTCCATATGCTCAACGGTGTATAATACTTTTACCACATGCACATTATGAACTAGATGAAAGTGCAACATGCGGTTCACACAATGTGATTAATAATGCAAAAGAAAGGAATCAAGGCTATCAACCATTACAAAATAGAATCAATACTACCATTCATTCATGCATATAAGTTAGATACAAAAGTAGTTATGAACAATTATATCTATCAAAGCATTCATGTACCCTGATTCATCTATCCAAACAACCATTCATAAACCTACCCTGATCATGTAAACATCCATCAACCAAAATATTTTCTAATGTGATCATGTCAACATCCACATAAGCATACATATACCTACCCTGACAACTATACACTATCCAAAAGAGTGGTTGGAATTATATATCTTCAACCATCAAAAATACAATATCTACCACCAAAGTCAGTTAAAATTCAACCACATCCCGATGATTGTAATAAACAACATAAGGATCAAACAGTTAGCATATCCCATGTAAGTCTTCATGATTGCATTCTTCTTATTCAGTTCCATCACATCTTTCTCGAAAGCTTCCTTCTCAACTTCCCTCAACTCTTGCAGTTCACCCCTAGCTTGCTCCAGTTGAACCACTTTTTTCTGAGCCTTCACAATCTCACTATAGTCTTCCTTTTTTCATAGCTCATACCTCATCTTACGAATCTGGTCTTTGTAATACCCCTCTTCTATATCCTTGTCTTTCCACTTGAAAATTTCACATCTTGGTCTTTCACTTGACTGATAAAAAATATATAGTATATAATTAGGGTTACGACTTAAATAAATATGTGAAATTTTCAGTTAAAGATACGAAATTGGATGGGGTTACAAAGAATGAATACTTACCATCAAATTTTTGTAGTCCCAAAACCTACGAACTGGGTTATCGTTAGTCCAGGCGGTTCTTTTGAAGCTGATACCATTTTTACACTTACATGGGGGGCATTGTTCATCATCTCCATGGTGTCCAAAACGAAGGATGTTGATGGTTCGAGCAGATGAAGAACACATCACTTGGGTTCTAGCAATCATGAAGAGGGTTTCAGGAGGGCAGTGGATTAATTGGGGTAAGAACATATTGCACTTGGTTCGCTTGAGGGTTCCACCGAAGGCAAGTAAGGCATCATGTACCGTGATGTGGTCCATTCAAGTCCACGTAGGTCAAGACAAGTTAGCATGTAACCCATAAACAGGAGACATTTTCTCTCATTCCCTTGACTAGAAAGTAATTTCTAACTTTAAAGACTAATTACACAAAAAAAACTTGAGTGACTAAATGGATAAATTGACCAAACTTCGTTCTGCTAGAGTAGAATTTTCCCATATTTTAATTATTTTATAAGTACTTAAAAAAAACATTGACGGTGTTAAGAGATTAGGACAAAATTGTAATCGAACCACAATAACAGGGACTAATTTATTAAAATCGAAAACTATGATTAAAACTCTAAAGCGTGCCAACCAAAGGGACCATTTCTGTAATTTAGTCATGTTCTAATAGAGTAATTTATGTCATATAGTAAGTTATCTTATATCTTGCATAGCGTGTAGGGATGTCAAAAAGTCTCGTGGGACCCCGATCCCGTGGGGTCCCCGTCCCGTTTGGGGGGTATTTTTTGAAAAAAAAATCAGGGACGGGAGCAGAGGCGGGGGCATGGTTAACCCCCGTTTTAATTTCGGGGGCGGGGGCGGGGTTTGGCAGTCCCGTCCCGAAACCCCCATGGGGGCCACGTTAATTAATTATATATATTCACATATATTAATTATATAAATATAATAAAAAATAGAATGATTTTTACATATTAAAATTCAACCAAAACATGTTTTAAGATGTTTGTAATATGTAAAATTATGCTATAAATAACTATTTGTTACCTAAAAAATAGTTTCTTTTAGCCTAAACAAGAACTTCTTTTAACCCAAATAAGGTAGCCCAAAATCAATCGGGGGCGGAGGTAAGAAGGTGAATTTGGGGGCGGGTGGGGTGGAAAGGATGGAGATTTCGGGGGCGGGGGAATGAGAGAATTTTGGGGGCGGGGATGCAATCCCGGTCCCGTTTGCCCCGTTGACATCCCTAATAGCGTGCCAACCAAAGGGACCATTTCTGTAATTTAGTCATGTTCTAATATAATAAGTTATCTTATATCGTGCATAAAAGTGAAATCGTTAAAAGAAACATTATATGTAGAAATGTTATAAAAACTAAAAAGCATCTATAATTTAGCTTTAATGTCTAAGAAAAGGGTATGTAATTGGAAAATTTTAATCCCTCATACAAGCAGTATAAGATAATTACATAACCAAACACCCGTTTGGATTTTCATCACTAAACATCTCAAATGAATCCGATGGCTGCTGCCTATACGAATCATAATCCGGTGGTACATATGGCGGTGGATCCATCTGTGAACTGAAATGCGAGTAGGCATACGATTGCGGTGGTGGGGGTGTGTAATACGACGCCGTATAGCTATTCACCGGAGGTTGAGCCGTGTTGTAGCTGACAGTGTACACCGGAGCTGGTGGCGGCGTGTAGTAATGAGGTGGCGGATATTGATACCCACTATGTCGTGGAGGACTTGGATTGGTTGGAGGTCTAGTTGGCGGTGGGCTACCACCGCCACCACCACCATTAACTGATCTCCCAGTTGATGGCGGTTGGCCACTTGATGATCCATTTTTATCACTATTTTGCGCTTTCTTTTTCTTTTTCTTCTTCCCTTCACCACCACCACCACCACCTCCGCCGTCTTTCTCGTTTTGCTCTTCCTTCTTCTCACTCACCGGTTGAGAAGCTTGGTTACTCGCTGCTCCGGTCTCTGGTTTCTTCTCTTCAGCTTTTACCTCAGCTGACTCTTTCCCACCTTCACTTTTACCTACACCTTCATCACCCTTTCCCCCGCTAACCGCCGGTTCTCCACCGCCAGGAGCGGCGGTTTTACTAACTCTCTTTGGATCTTCAACAGTGCTTTCCGTTTTAGTCGTTGGTGGCTTGATTTCTTTAACAGAAACAGGAGACTCTTCACTCACACTCCCTTGGCTGGTGGTGGTTGGTTTTTCAGTTTCCTTCACACGAATCTCAGGTGGCTTTTCCGGCCATAACTCCGCATGCTTCCCTGCTTTTACCAGTTTCCTCAGTAAAGTCTCCGGCGACACATCCCCAGTTACCTCAACCCGTTGTAGTTTGGGTTCAATACGAATTTCCTGAACTCCTGGAATCACAAAACTCAAAACATCAGCTTCTAATTCATACAATCAGGAGATCGAAAGAGAAAAAAACAAAAAAGAGAAAGATACCTGGAACAGATTGAAGGAGTTTCTGGACTTTGCGTTTGCAGCCTTGACAGTGTATGGAGACTCTTAAAACCGATGTCTACAGACAAAGAAAGATACAAAAATGAAAGTTAGTAAACATGAACTGATCATAACAGGCGTATGATGATGATGATGATGATGACGACGACGACGATATGCTACCTTGGTTTTGAAGGATTGTGATGGTTCTTCTGCTTCAGTAGAAGCCATTTTTGTTTGTGGGAGAGAGAGAGAAAGAGGGAGAGAAGGAGAGAGAGATTCTCTTTGAGGAAGAAAGTGAGAGGAATGATGATGCAAAGCATTTAATAAGGAAAAGGAAAAGTAGTGAAAAAACTTTAGTGGGGGCCCGTAGGAGAGTTATGGTGACTGGACAAGCACTAGCTTACATGGCCGGTTCTTATTGCTTCCTGTCATTGTAATGACACCTGTCACTTTTCAGCTTTTTTTGTCTTTTGTTTTTCCTTTTTCTGTTTCAGTCATTTTCAAAATAAATATTTTATATTCGTCAACACAAATGTTGCTGCATTTGCTTTAATAATGGTTCCGTTCCAAAAACGAATTCTCCCCTTTCAGAAATAGAAAATAGAACGTGTTGTTTAATTTGGTATATGTGTTTTCATATTTTTTCTTAGTAAATTATAATGCAATTTAGACCTTGTAGCAAAATTAGTTGAATATGACCTCAAGGAAAATTTGGAACGTAAATTTAGAGTAGGTCGTTGGGTGTTGGTTTTTGTGGATTGATTCCTCGTCTCTTGTCTTTCTTTTAAATTTATTAATATAGTTATAAGGATTGTTTTCTACATAATAATAATAAAAAATTGAATAAAAGAAATTATTGATCGCAAATGTATCATTGTGCTATAAGTGACACCATCCATCTAAATGATAAGATTGATTTGGGTTGTGTTTTCACCAAGTTAATGACATATTTTTCACAAGCTTTTCAATATGTTCCTTTCCATTATACATTTAAATTATTGTTATTTTACTTAATTATCCTCTATCCCGAATTATATATGTTTTTTAACAACTCCACTTTATTATCTTCTATTTTTAAAACATCCACAATAAAATCTTTTTGATAGAAAAGTTTATTTTAAGCTCGTAACAAATGAATTTTGTTTAATTGTTTATTCTATTTCAAACAAACATCGTTCATTTTTTTCGGTTTGGTTTGAGATTATAGTATGGACATGTATAAGTTGTTTGATTATAACTAGTGAAAAAACTTGCGGTGAGTTTGAATAAAGTATCTCTATATGATGATGTATCTTGACAACAGGATATGACCTCTTAAGGGTAAAGTTTCCAACTTTACCCACTCCTAATCCTTCTTAATGGGTTTAGCTCAAACCCTAGCTCCTTAAGACATAAATCTTTGTCCAAAATCCTTATTACTCCAATCCAAAATAGGAGAACCAAGATCTAGGTCCTAGTCACCCAATAAACACGTAAAATCTCAAATTTTACTTACATGCATGGCCCTTTAGGGCTTAAAAGGTCATAAAACATCCTTAGGGTTTGCATGGGACTCCAATGGCATAAAGTTTGCACATTTATGCCTTCATAACCCTCAAAGACTTCAGATCTGAAAGTATATTCAACTTGGGACATCCATGACCCATAAATCAAGCTCCTTGGTAAAAAATCTCATAAAAGTGACCACAAGAAGATCTAAGAAACTATAAGGCAAGTTAGAAGCTTGATTACCAAAAAGTGATGAGAATGGAACGAAATCCCTGGATCTACAACCTTCTCCTTGAACCTTCAAGCTCCTTCATCTTCTTCTAGTCTTCAAGAACACACAAATCACTCAAGGATGGCTCACACACTCACAAGATGCTCTGGGGTTTCGTGGATTAGGGTTTAGGACTTGGAGACTGTAAATGGGGCTGATGGAAGGAGAATATGATGCTTAAATAAGGTACAAAGACCCGGATTTAGGGTTTTCCAAACCCAGACCAACTCGTCGAGTTGGTCCACCAACTCGTCGAATAGGTCCTTCTACCCGCGTACCAAAACTTGCTCCTACTCGTCGAGTCATCCCCCAGACTCGACGAGTTGCCTTCTTGACTTAGGGTATTCCTTTCCTTTCTTTGGCCTTCTGGATTCCGGGTGTTACAATTCTCCCCCACTTAAACTGGACTTCGTTGTCGAATTCCGCTACCGTCACCTACCCCGCGAACATCTCATGTGTCACACCCTCAGCTATTCTCATATCTGCTCTGGACCAACTGGTGTTTTCCACCGCCACCAGCACTCGTCACCCTAGCAGTATCACTATCCTCATGCGTACTCAATGGCCTTCCCAAGGCAATCAGACCCAACCATCGGAACCTTCCAAACCTGATGAAAAGTCATCCTTACCGCTCTAAGGGGAACCACTTCCGTCTTTCCACGATCTGAGATCTATAATGGTCTGTCTCCCTGACGGACCGCCTATGTCACCATGCCAAAAACGCAACAAATAACTGCTCAACCGCAAAATTTCTCACCCTGATCAAATCGATGCTACCATCAACAACATAATCTATGTCTATAACTAGATGTAGAATACTTATGCTTGCCAGGAGGCTTAGATAATCCTTCGAGTAAAATATTCATCCCTGAAACGGTTAGACTCAGATGAGAGCTGCGCAATAGGGTCAAATTAATTACTCTGAGATTATCCAACCCAACTGTAAATGTCTTCGCTCTTTTGATCCGCAAGTTACTCCTCTCACAGGAACCCTCCCATCACTACTTCTACCTGAACATCATGTTGTCTCTTATCTACCTTCCAAAGGAAACAGGCTCTCTCAGGTCCAAACTTATCTATGCACTATCCG